CACAATGGTGGTAAGTTTTTACAATGTTTTTTTTTTATTCAGATCTAATAAACAAATCAAATTTGTGGAGGACAATATAGGTCGGTATACATATTGCAGCATAAGTAAAACAAAGTAAAATATGTTCAACTAGATCTACTGATCTTTTAGACTCTACTGATCTTTTAGAACTTTAGACTCTTGATCAATACAGTATCCACATACTGCCAGTTTTCAATCACAACCAGTTTTCAATCATCCCTAGATTTTTTTTATTTTTGACCTTATTTGTCATGTAACCAAACTGTAAGCACATCTTGCATTCACCTTGACTACATTTATTAGCAGCAATGTCAATTATGGCGATAAAAAAGAAAATGCTAGCATTTTAGTTCAAATATGTGAAATGTGTGTTTTCCACTAATCCTTTATTTAGCCAGTTACAAATCTCAATTACTTTTCTAAAATAATTGATTTACAGACTCAGTTTTTTGTCAGTCTGCTGAAATGGATTATTAAGTTGGACAACTGTTTCAATATCTTGAAGTCATAATAATATACTGCACTTCAAAAGCTATAATTTTAATATGTACATATTTTTACCATACAATTCTTAAATTGAAAGGTAATACATCAGTAAAGTAAACAGTTGCAGTGAGTCACTAAAAACAAGGAAAAAACATTATCTTTGATAACTTTTTCAGTAAGCATTCACTAGAATGGTGTCATATAGACCTTAAGATCCTAAAAATTTCTCGAGAACATGCTTTTTTCTGTTATGCAAAATTAAAATGTACATCCATACCCCAATTGTGACAGCTTTACCACTGCAAATAGATATCAAGATTAAAAAAAATGGCATTATAATTAGGTTAAAATTGTTTATTACCATTTATCTGAAGTTGAGTTTGTCAAAATTTCTCCATAATACATAACTGATTATATTTTAACATTGTATGACAATTTTTATGTGGTACAGTTTATATTTTGTTAACTGATTGAAAAGTGGTTGTGAAATTTTGAAGAACAGGAAAATGGGTCAGTAATGATTTGTCCTCGATTCATAATAATAATTCAGGTAAAATTTTAAAAAGTTGGTGCATTTATTAGCTAAAATGATAATATTCGCAGAATTGAAAGAGAATTTCTTTTAATATAATTTCACTGTCAGTTATTGTAGAAAAATCTGTTAGCTGATCGGAAAGAGGCAGTACGGGGATATAGATCTAGAACATTAAAAATAGCTTTTTTTCATGTGAAGAGGGGGGGGGGAGTTTAAATTGACCAGAAATGTGGTTAATGAGCTAATTGGTATGAATATACAATGGAATGTGTCAATTGCTGGTCTCCATTCGGTAAATCCTGGTAAATCTTATTTTAAAAAGGAATTACTGGAAAATACAGAATGGTAGGAATGGTAACACATCATCATTGACAGGTCTCTTCTGGTTTCATTGACAGTGCACATCTTATTTGATTTCCTTACAATTGATTAAGACTTGAAAATTGACCACTAAATAGTCAATTTGGTTACAATAATTAACACAAATCAATTTTCATATTTATTATAATTATGAATAATGCATGATCGTTAACAACTTTAATTAGATTCTATCATAAGTTAATAAGATTAAATGATTTATTCAATTAATGGACACTGGTTGGAGAGATAACTCCCACACATCTAGATAACCCTGACACTTGGTTAAATATTTTTATTTATCCTTTTTCGTCAAAAAACATGTATACACATGGTCACCTAGTAATAAAGTAGAAAGACAGACTGTGATGAAATTTTTTAAATTGAATGTGTTTGTGTAGACCACAACTTTTTGTCACAAAAACAGACACAAACGTTCTTTTTACTTAACTTCCAGACAGGAGTTAGAATTGTCTTTAACACATGGTTCTGACTTGGGAAAATTTCTTTAAAAATTGTTAAATTGTTAATAAGGCTTAGATAAAGCATATATAATGTAAAAATAAATGATTGTTTCTAAAAATCAAGTTAGCTTTTATGTTAAAATTAAAGTGTCGACTTTATCTAATGTCCAGGGTTAAAAAGGCCACGTTTCGGTTACCTTATTCAGGACCTTAAGTAAGTACCGGTTTACATTTCAAAAAAGGAATTGGCATATAATTATAAATGTTTAAACCAATTTTTTTTTAGGTGGGTAAAAAATTTATAATATATACAAAAATGTTATTTGAAGAAAATAGTGATTTAGTGTCGGAGTTAACTCTCCAACCAGTAGTGATACAAAATAAAACTGAATGGTTTAGGAATAAGTAATATAATATATTCTAGAACACATTTTTAATTTATATGGCTTGTGTCAGTCTATCAATACATAGATAAGTAAATAGAATAGCAAAAATGAATTAAACCAAAAATGTTTAATTAGTTAACAAAATGCAAGTCCTTTGAAAATAAATAGTATGAAAAGGGTGAATAAAAATCAAGGATTTATGTTGGCACAGGATGTTTCTCAGATGAATTCCAAGGACAAACAATAGACAAGCAATCTTGTAATGTAGCTTCAGTACTCACCAAAACCTACACTCAGAAAATACATAATTAAGTTAAATTAACACAGAGTCACATTCTAAATAAATAGTACATTTTATGATTTAACATTCATGACTTGCACAATTCATTCATACATTTTTCCAGTTTCTTTTAATTAAACATTTTATCAAACGATTATTGTATTACATCATAAAAAAACTTATACATGTATAACAATTTTTCAGACTTACCAATTCATGGAACCATTAAAGTGCTTCTACATCATACACAACAAATAGTCAACAGTTATACACTTTTCACTGTATCCAGTGTGCTGTTATTTCTGGAAATTACAAATGAATAATGTACAAAGAGTTTGAATAGAATGTGAGATTATTTGTTTATATTTAAATAAGAAAATAACAATATGATACTGCTATATCATAATTCAATTAAAGACAAAATTAAGTTAAACAAAGCTTAAGGCTCTTGAAGCAATTTGAATTAAAAACACATTTTTGCTAACAATAATATTCCATAAATGACAAATCATTAATAACATGATTCTCAAAAACACACTGACCCACAGAAAAACAATGGTCCAGGGGAAACAACTCTCTAAATGACAATTAATAAAGAATGACTGATTATGTCACTGTTAAACAAATACATTATGAAAATAATTATTAAACCTTAAACCAACACATTTTTCACTTGCAAGATCTGCCCAATTTTGTTACTCTATATAGTAACAAGTGTATTAATCAAATATAATGGACATATCTCTACCTGAAACCTGATTTGTGAAAATAGAGTTTTCTTATAGATATGGAGACATTTTAATAAAAAAAATTTAAATGTTCTAAAGAAAAAAATTTAAGCAATGACTTAAATAAACTAATTTGACGAACATATATAGAGGATATTGAATGAGTGTGAATTCAATACTGTATTTATTGCACGAGTTGAATAAAATTATATTATGTGAGCCTCTGGCAAGAATAATATTATTTTATTCAACGAGTGCAATAAATTCAGTATTGAACTTACAAGAATTTAATATTGTACTTATCAAATACCAAAAATAAAGACCGTTTCAAGTGAAATAAGAGTCAGTTTTCATTGACACGCCTATAGTATAATGCTAACATTTAGTGCGTTTTTACAAAATGTTTATATAACGCTAATGCTGTGACGTCAAAATATATGCACGGCCGTGCAATACCATATTTACCGAGTCGCAAAATCGGCACGGGTGTTTGATTAACCTTTTTTAATGGCATTTAAACTTCAAATGGTGAAAGTATTCATTGCACTACATATGAAGGTAATATTTCAGTGATTGATGTTTTATTTTTTAACTATTTCAGGTGTGTATTTAGAAAACATCAAGGACTGTTGTACATGCAAAGAAAGCACATGTCAAAAAAAGAAGTAAAAGTATGTAAGATGTACCATCAATTTAAGTAATAAAGGTATTATTTTGATTCCTAAATCAACTAGATACACTGGCAATAAGTTTTTTTTCTTTGCCATCTTTTAGAGTAAATCTTATTGCTTCATAACTGTCCAGGTGCTTACCATTTTTTCCTCTCTATAGATAACAAGCGAAAAATGAAATTAACTATTTCTCAATGTACAGGCTTGTACGATCAAGTGCGTAATGGCAATCTTATGCTTAGTATATAAAAAAGAAAGGCAAATGATAGACATTACTTTGACGTCAGATAATACCCTATATTAATCTAATGACATTAGTAAAATAACTTCTTCCCCATAAAGTTATTCAACATATCTTTTTAAATTCTCTTTCTTTCTTGGCATGTTATAAGAATCATGAATGGAAATAGATATTAATTTTTCTTGCCAGATGTAAAGAGTATTAGATGAGTATACTGTAGGTTTAATACTAAATATATATTGAACAAGTTGAATAGAATCATATGTGAGCCTGTTGCGAGCATAAATTTTTTTTATTCAAGTTCAAAAAATTTAGTATTGAATCAACGCTAATACAATATTCTTTTTATCACATAAAACATAAATACGGTAAACTGTTAAGAAAAGTCATTTTTCAAAACAACTTTTCCTATATGAATTATAACATAAATGCTTACTTAGGTAACATTGAAAAAAATTTCAATACAAAATATATTATGAGATTATTGACAAATTAATTCAATGAATTAACCAATTTTCAATATGCTTGAATAATAATTATTATTTAGTTCAACTGGTTATATATATAATATAAAGTACATTTAATAAAATTAAATGCCCACTACAAGATGTCGTTTAAGTTTCATTGACCAACAACTTTATTACAATGTCTTGGTTTTAGTAAAAAACATTACTATAATTAACATTAATATGATGAATTTTTAGTGAAGGAAAAACTCTAAAATCAATTTTATGTTTAAATTAATGCATTACACTTAACTGTAAGAGACATTTTTGTTCTCTAATTTACAGGTTGTCAGAATACAGATTACAGACAGAAGAAAAAACAACAACAAAAAACATAAGATTTAAAGACAGAAAAGGGACAAGCATGTTCTGACACAGTAAGTATTTGAGCATAAAAGTAATTTTCCTGCTATTGTCTATAACAATTATCATCTTGGTTATGATAAATGCTTGCTTATCTCTCTCTAGTTATATTACATGATATTGATGATGTCAAAAAGTTAGGCTAGCTACAATGAAAAATAGATGTACATGCTGTTTTATTGTGGAAAAGTAATAAAAGAAATTGAATTAGATAATATAAAAATCATCATTAAACTAAACAAAACCGAGATAAGTCAAAAACATGGTTGATGTTGAAATGGAGAAGGTTTATCCATTTTGCTAGGATAAACTTCCTGTATTCAAACATCAACCATGTATTATACATGTTTTTTGTGCTTAGCATATATCATAATACATCGCTATCTGCTTGATAGGGGATTAGCTTGAAGTTTGTTATCATAAATGCTACTTTCTGGATACCTTAATGTTAAAATTCAACTGTAGCGTTTTTGCTCTTTGAGCAAGGCAAACAATAGAGCATACATAGAGAATAACATGCTACTGTCTTTTGATATCAATTTTATCAGGCGAGGCTGATATGGGCTAGAAAGGGCGACGTCATTTGCAACATAAATTATGACGTCACTTCATTGAGTTGGTGCTTAACTATTCGCTATCTAATTGATTCGTAATTGAAATCGAAATTGAAATAATAAACAAATAAATATGAAGACTTGTTAAGGTATGAGATTACATTGTTGAATTCACATGCTGATGAAAATGAGAATATAAGCAATTGAAAAAAGTCCGTTAACAATGGGCGGGGCTTATTTTTGATATCAGGTTACTGACCTGATAACAAAAATAATTATCAGGCAAGTGTTACCGGACAGTTACCATAGCAGTTGCATGATAAAGTAACACATCAAACATTTTCATAGTCCATTGACATAAGGTTTTGAAACTTTGTAGACTTGTTCACCATCATGCCAACCACCTATTGACAGAAATAGATAAATCTATCAAACATTAAGACAAAATTTTATCCTGCTAATGCCTATATCATCAGCTGCAAAAAGCCTTGACGTATAAACTTATGATCTATCTCAAGTCGTTACGTCACACGATGCAACTTGACTGACTCAGACATCAATCAGAGCTCCAGATATATGTTTTTGGTCAAGAATTTTATACCCCTCAAATTCTAAAGTGAGGGGTAAAATGCAAATAGGGTTATATTAAAATCTATAACAAAGCATAATGCATTTTTGTTTATGATAAAAAATTAAAACTGACTTTTTTTTTGTTGTTGTTTTTTAAAAAAAAAAACTTGTACAACAAAAAATTGAATCAGTGCAACAAGCTCTGGAAATGCAGACTTTCCTAGGCAAGGGCATCTTGTACCCAAGTTATGGAAACACAGCAAAATAATTTCCTATTATAGTCATTACTTTTTTCTTTTATTTTTTAAAGTTAAAAATGTATCACACTACTTTGCAATCTGCACTCAGGTCAGTTCTTAATCTATTTTTTCTACATATTTCTGCCTGTTCTTTAAATTAAAAACAATTTTCAATTTAAACAATAAGAATTGAAATAAGAATTAAATAAAAAAAACAAGAAAGTTTTATGCCTTTTCTAAAAAAGGTTTTGATTTCAGATAAAATTGTCTGTAACTGTAAAACTGGGTATGAAAATATTTGGTACGAAAATATTTGTGTACAAAACTGCAAGAGAAATACGTTTTTTCCAACAACAACTGACAGAAATTAAAATAGTTTTGTTTATTTACTGGAAGAATATGACAATGTATGTCTTTTCTCTAAACAAATTGAATATAAGGTAAACTCCTACGATGATTATCTGCCACATTAATTTTGTCAATAATTTTACGAGAGTTACCTCCCTAGTACATTTCTCACTTCCTGCTACTTTCGGTTTTAACATACAGCGTTGTTGACAACTGTATTTTAGTTTTCAATCCATTGAAAGTTAAACAGAAATATCTTTTATTTTTATGAAATCAAAACATCACTTTTTTTGTTAAATATCAAACATTTACACTACAATTTTTTATTTAGGGGAATTTTCTTCTGAAATAGGGGAAAAAAGCATATGATTTTGAGAGGGGAATGGGGCCGATATTCGGCCCCAAAAATGGCCAAACGAGTGCCCTGCATTTAGATGCTATTTTATCGGGGAAAAAAAAAGAATGAAACAATTTAATTATTCTAAAATCACCTTCTCCATCCCGGCATCCACCATGTATTTCCTATATTCCCCTTTTTAGACTTAATTATAATTTAGGTTAATGTTCCCTTACACCTCAAGACAGAAAGAAGAATTAGCCCTATCATGCATTATGGACAGAATTATGCCCCTTTCTTGACTCATATCAATAATAGGTCATAACATAACTGTAACATGGATTTGGAAATAAATATCGGCCCTTTTTGTCCTTACATTTTTTTATTGTCAATGCTAATTTTATTATCAAGCACTGAGAATAGTCAAGCATGCTAACCCATCAAGAGCTGTATTTTAAATCCAATTCAGCAATGTAAATGATAACTGTTTTAAAAATGAACAGGACTTTTGACAATTAAAGTTACGAAAATCAAAGTAATCAGATAAGATTTAACATTATTGGTCTGTTACTTGCAAGGTTGTTTCTTCACTAAGCAGGAAAATTTAAGAACCTGTGTGTACGAGGGTTGTTCAAAAAGTAATAGGACTGCAGCTCTACTGTTCACATTTTTAAATTTACGTACAAAATTTTACATGAGACAAATATCAGAACATGTTGTCTATATACAGTGAAAAAATCAAAACAAAATGTAAAGAAATGAAATTTCTGTGCAATTTTCAAGTGACAAGGGGTACGAAACGCGGCGCACGCTAACAATACAATAATTGACGTTCATGACGTCGTAAAATAAATCGAAATTGTAATAAGCGTCATTCTTTCTGAAAGTAGTCTCCCTAGTCCCTAGGTGTATGAGTCATGTAACTTTTACTTTGCCTCATATGTGGAGATGAAGCAAGAAAAAAAAGCGATCACATTCTTGTTCCACTGTTTAAAAAAAAAATGCCCGATAGCCGGGCATTCTCCGGGTTTTCTCGTGTGTTTTTTGAGTAACCTTGGAACTCAATAGGACTGAAAATGTTAAAGTAAAAGCAATTTATTTTATTAATTTACTCATGTCATTGTGTTTAAAACAATATGATTATTTACAGAACAATAAAGATATTTCTCAATTGAAAAGTATCCTTTTCTACTTAGCACAGTCTATCGTTTATTAAAGCAAGTTTTCGGGAAACACTACTAATTATTTCCGTTAACTATTACATTAATTTATTGATTACACGTATATCTAGTTAAATACAATAAAATAGTGTTTGTAACAAATTTCTTATTTACAATCCTTTGGTTAAAACTGAATAAGTAGAGACCGAAGCAGATACAAACAACGATAAACAGTTCGCGTACCGTTTACCGTGGATTCTTTTGTAGCGCTTTTGCAATTGACGTCACTAACGTCCCGTCAATTTTCAACTTTCATCCTCGCCCTTTCTCGTTATCGATCTTGTATTTGCAGTTTTTGAATTGCTTGTGCCAGCTGAAAACAAGTGTACTGATGGCAGGATAATTGTCCTTTGTTTATTTAATCATTTTGTGTGAATCTGAATGATTATAGTCAATCTGTTGGCAAAATTTAACCATCGCACATATTTTTAGTTTTGTTAACAAAATATCATATTTCTACATCTAACGCTATGACCGCTGCTTTTCAAAAACTTAATAAATAGGCCATTTTATGTTCGAATGACGTCAAATTTGGACATAATGTCACATAAATATATAGTCAACGTATTGATTGAATACGGGGGGGAAACAAATAGTTATTTATGAATAAATTAGAAGTAGAACTTAGCTCCAATAACTATATTTATGTGCTGCGCCGGGTGCGTGTTACCATGGTTATTCAATAGCAAAGGAAAAGCGCGTTTAGCACAATAGATTAAAAAACTTATATTTGATTTGTAGAAAACATTTTACGATTGCTGTACATATGAAAATATTCTAAATTGAATGAAATTTGAATACGCAAGACTCCCAGTCCTATTACTTTTTGAACAACCCTCGTAGAAGATTCTATGAGCATTATCAACTAAAAATATTAATTGCTACAAAGTTGCATTATTAAAAAAAGCTATTTAAAACTAAAAAAAATATGTTTGAAAGTAGGTTTATTCAAGGTTCAATAGAATATTAAAAAATCATTTCGATTTTGTTTCTTTTACAACATTACTTAAAATTTAAATATAACAGAAATTTTTAGATTTAAATGTTATTCTATTAGTAAAAACAGAAAAATAATATTTCATTAACTAGTATTTGAATTGCTTTTTAAATAAGGTTTACAAATTTAATATATGTTCCATATATAATTTGGTTATAAAGCTCATTTGGAAATTACTATAAATGTGATTAAATATGCTTAAATATTCTGGATATTTTCAACAATTTTTAGTGATTTGAGGTTTAGGACGTGAGAATTTTACTGGAATTTTAATAATTATGTTCATTTATGTGTTTATTTAAAAAAAAATTCTCTTGTATACTTACAGAAACATGTATTCAACTTTAAATAAGAGGAGGAAAAATCAATGGCAGCGACACAGATGTTGAAGAAAGAATATTTATCAGAACACTAATGCAAGAACTGTCAACAACACTTGATTTTTAAAAAAATATTTCCAATAGTTAGAATCATTAAATTCTAATTAAAGTTATGCCATACAGAATACAGGCAGTTAAACTGTATCAATGAATGTGAAAAAGACTTGATATCTGACATTTGAGTGGAGTGCCTTAATAAAATGAAAACTAAAAGACAATTTTTAATCGCCTGATAAAAATTTTCAATATGACAAATTTTTAATGGTTTCAATGCAGTAATAAAAAGATAAATGAATTGTGCATAAATGAAAACACAAACAATTTTATAGAAAAAAATATGTTAAGTTAATTTGGAAACAAAGTCACAAGCACGTTTGAAATGAAATGTATTTATGCATATGGAATAAATTAAAAAAAGGTGTTTGTGTGTATGTTTTCCCATGAGACTGTATTAAGATTTTCCTCTGACATTTTATCTGTTAAAATATTGTATAATTACTTAAATCATGATATACCATAAAATTCTCTGAAAAAATTTACTTAATTTATTTATAGATTAATCTATTAATCTAAAAATTTGAGCATTTATTTCAAGTTGGCAAAGAAATAGTATAATTATGTAAATGGAAATACCAGTTAAGCCAATACAATCAGACAATTTAAATATAACATACTTTAATTTAGTGAAAACTGTTTATATCCCTTGATTATGAAACATGTTTGACGAATCACAGTTTACAGTGAAATATGTTTGTCAAACTAAAGTCTAAAGCTAGTGAAACCTGTTTGACAAACTTAAGTTATAGAAATATGTTTTGAAAAATCGAGGTTAGTGAAACGTGTTTGACAAACCTAAGTCAGTGAAACCTGTTTGACTCACTTAGGTTAATGAAACATGTTTGACAAACTTAGATTAGTGAAACGTGTTTGACAAACCTAAGTCAGTGAAACGTGTTTGACTAAGTTAGATTAGTGAAACCTGTTTGACAAACCTTAGTTAGTGAAACGTGTTTGACAAACCTAAGTTAGTGAAACGTGTTTGACAAACTTAGATTAGTGAAACATGTTTGACTAACTTAAATTAGTGAAACATGTTTGACTAACTTAGATCAGTGAAACCTGTTGGACTAACTTAGATTAGTGAAACATGTTTGACAAACCTAGATTAGTGAAACTTTTCTGACAAAATCGAGTGGTTGCAATCAACAACAAGAGAAACGTGTTGCACAGAACATGGTAATAGAACTATAGTGGACTAAATTTAGTTGGTAAAAAATGCTCTTTATTACTCTTGTTAAGTGAAACCAATTTGAGTTCTTGGAGGGAGCTATACGTAAGACATATGAACTATAGTCGAAGTAAAGGGGAAAAAACTTGAATTCCAGGTTAAATAATTTGTCCGGTTTCAAATAATACCCTGTTCAAGCGTAAAATGTGGATTGACGCCTTTATTAGTCAATATAACCCGGTCATGTTTGGTATCGTACGAAATGTTTTAAGGCGCTCTTTATAAATACGGACTAAAATCGAAATAAAAATCACTATTAAATCTTTAAATCATTCTTCATTGAAAATACTGTACTCGAAATATAAACTCAACTTACTGCGTTAATGATGTTTACTCTGTGACGTCCAATCACCAAATGACCGAAGTCACCAGTGCGATACATCATACGCATGCGCGGATCTAAATTTAGAAATGACATTGTCCAATTTAACAGCAGTTTCTCTTTTCTTACCGACTGAATGTAACCAATCAGACAGAAGATTTATTTGACCAATGATTTTGGTCACGTGACTATTTATAACATAAATAGATGAATAACGTCATGCCAAAAATAGCAGCCAATCAGATTTTAATACGTGTGTATATAAATGAATACTTATCAGCGTATTGGCATAAGCCAGATGAACGCCACTGACTGTACATCCTTCAACCAAAACATGGAATATTACGAAAGTAGACTTAAGACGTTCGATACGTATCCAAAACAATTTCTCCCGAATAAGTACGAACTGGCAAGCGCGGGATTATACTACAGCGGGAAATCAGACTTGTGCAAGTGTTTCAGATGTCACATAAAATTAAGCGCCTGGGATAGATCGGACATTGCATTGAGAGAACATCACAAGTGGTCACCCAATTGCGAATATATTAAAATAGTAGGCGCTCCTCAACAAAAACCGCCCCCAATAGGCGGATTTGGCGCGTTTGTATCAACAACTAGGTCAACACCTTGCGGTTTTGGAGGATTCGGTGGTTTAAGTTCAACGGCATCTACTGTATCAAATTAGACGAAAAAAATGTTGACATTCATTTGTATAACCATAACATTGATAGTGTACTACTGTATTGTAACATATCTTTTGTGTTTCTTTGTAAGAATATGTTTATCTGCGTATATTTTATCAATAAACATGTATGACTGGAAACAGGATTTGTCATCTATTAATCTCCTGCTCCTTCACCACCACCACCATTAATCTCCTGCTCCTGCTCCTTCACCACCACCACCACCACCACCAATACCACCACCACCACCACCACCACTAACAACAACAACACTTCACTCAAACGTAAAAAGGGTGACTAACCAGTATAAGAACGAATACTTCAGTGTACTTTTGTGTTGTTGTTTTTTTATAATGAATCAATGTCCAATTTGTCAACAACTTTTCTCAAGACGCGACGCCATGTTGAGACATCATCGTAACCTGCACGAGACTGACGAAATTGTAAGAGATAACCATCCATCACCACAAATAACCCCTGGGTCAGAAAAGATGACGTTTCAGCATCCGTTTTCGATGGTCGTCTCCGGGCCTAGCGGTAGCGGGAAAACTGAATGGACAAAAACATTGCTTTTATCCGATATAGTAAGTCCGCTACCGGAGCGCATCATTTGGTGTTACAGTCAATGGCAGATTCTATACGACGAACTTCAGCGTAGAATACCCGGGATAGAATTTGTACATGGCATTCTCGACTACTTGAATAGTCCAGGGTATATTGACGGGCGTAAAAGGAACTTGATCGTTTTTGACGATTTGATGACAGAGGCCAAATGTGACCAGAGAATTGCCGATCTTTTTACCAAAGGCAGTCACCACAGGAACATATCTATCGTGTATCTGACTCAAAATTTATTTCCTCAAGGAAAAGCCTGCAGAAATATCGCGTTGAATACGCAGTACCTAGTATTATTAAATAACTCTATTGACAGACAGCAGGTGGCTACGTTAGCGAGAAGAATATATCCTTCCTCCTATAACATCTTTATGAAACGCTTCGAACGAGCAACATCAAGACCGCACGGTTATCTAGTGGTAGACTTGAAATCCTCTACTCAAGAACATGACCGTTTGCGCGAAAACATTTTTGAAAGTCAAGCTAGGAAAAGACAGCACGCGTATGATTCCGAAAATGAGTTTAGTGGAGAATCAAACTTGTCTGACAATACTTTAAATGATGATGTTGATAATGATTATGAGGAAGAAGAGGAGGAAAATGAGTCAGAAGGCAAAAATATTGGAATGAAAAGAAAGTCTTTCATTACGGGACCTCCTGGTAAGCGCATAAAAGAGGAAATAGAAGAAGAACGTGCACGTCATGACATATGGGATCGAAGATTTCAAAAGCCCCTCAGACAGGCTCATTCGGAACAATTTAAGGAACGACTAAACAGTTACATAGATCAAGAGCACTCTTTCGATGATGCTCTTTCTCGAGCTGCAAATGATGTGTTGCCGCATTTGAGGAAAATGTTGAGACAAAATTATGCACAATTTCTTATTGACTTTTATGTATTGCAAAAGGACCCTACTCAACAGCAAATTTTCCAGTCCGAGAGGAAACTTAAACATCAACACGGTATGAATTTTAAGGAATCTATTCAACAAGCCATTAAACTAAGAAAAGATCTGTTTGAGGTTCTATGGCCCAGTCACGACATTAACATTTCTAATCATGAGAACGATGAGGATGAAAATGCGTAAAAAGGATCGCCAGTCTTAAGTTAACAACGTTACAATGGGTTCCATAGAAGTATACGATTATGAACAAATGAAATGGGTCCCTTATAAAGATGATCCAGAGAAATGGTATCAACATTTCAAGGACTTGGGGGACGGGTACGTTAAAGCCGATCATAAAGGCCGTTACATTGTAGGTAGCGGTCATTCGCGTAAAAGAGTCGAAACACTAGAAGCGAAACTCAACGCCACCGAGGAAAAGCTAAAATTAGCGGAAGAGGAGCTAAAAAATACACAGCGTCCCTCAGTTAATTTGGTTAGCCCAGTGGCCCAAGCGATTGAAATTGTGAAATCGGAAGTTAAACGGAACAGAGATTCCAGTATACCGGAGCGTAAGAAGCGCCGAACGGACAATGACTGGAGTCACTTGACTTACTAAAATGAACAATTATCAGTTAGAAAATATATTGCGTTGATATCCAGTGACAGTGTGTGCGACTGATAAAATTCGCAAACAAAAAGGAAGATTCGTAATTTCCAATACGGATACGAGCAATGGCCCGGGAAAACATTGGGTGGCTTTTTATTTTCCCGCGAAAGGCCCTTACGAATTTTTCGACTCGATGGGAAATTGTCCGCAAAGCTATGATGTTGGATTTGAAAAGATATTTAACAAGAAATACCTTATGTATAATGGGCAGCTACAACAGTCTTCGTCTAACGTGTGTGGACTTTATTGCGCATACTACGTCATCAAACGATATGGAGGAAAATCAATGAGAAACATTGTCAAAGAATTTAATCCACAACGGAAGAAGCTCAATGATTACCTTATAGTGTCTAAAATGATGAAACTGGAAGAAATCCAATAACTAAAGCTACTAGACAAAATGCATCATTACTCTTAACACCATGATTACTGTTTCAGAATGTTGTATGTTAATAAAATAAAAATTGACATGTTTTGTTTTTTATTTTTCGCATGAGAATACATGTATATCCAAATAAAAGATATGAATACATATATTGCCTTGTTATTTATGATGTATTGTCAGTTTAATTGACCACCTTCAATGCCTATCTTTGTGGTGTCCATGTACATATCCCGTTCTGATAAGCACTTCCAATCTTTATCTATAGAGTGTGTTGGTTCATTGAGAAAAGTCCAGTTTCTGTTCCATTGGATGTCTTTTGAAAGGTTTACATACATCGACGTATTATTTTATATATTCTCCTGAGTGGGGATTGTTCTCCATTTAGATCGGTTGAACTGCTTGATACCCATAGGTCACTTACTCATAATATACACTTTCTCATTGGTCAAATAAATCTTCTGTCTGATTGGTTACATTCAGTCCGTAAGAAAAGAGAAACTGCTGTTAGATTGGACAATGTCATTTCTAAATTTAGATCAGCGCATGCGTATGATGTATCGCAGTGGTGACTTCAGTCATTTGGTGATTGGACGTCATAGAGTAAACATCATTACGCAGTAAGTTGAGTTTATATTTCGAGTACAGTATTTTCAATGAAGAATGATTAAAAGATTTAATAGTGATTTTTATTTCGATTTTAGTCCGTATTTATAAAGAGCGCCTTAAAACATTTCGTACGATACCAAACATGACCGGGTTATATTGACTAATAAAGGCGCAAATCCACATTTTACGCTTGAGTGATTTTACTTCATTTATCGGGCCCTATCCGAGTCAGCGATACAAAATTATACATTTTCTGAATCTAGTGAGTAATACCTTTCGTTCGATACAGGTATTGATAAGATCGGTCCGTTGGTTGGGGAGAAAAAATGAATTTCACGCACGAGTGACTTGACATTCGGTTTGATCGCGTGACTAAAATGTACTCGTCAAGACATTCAATTTGATAACAAACACGACTATGTTTCGTTCATAAACGAAAAAGTTATGCGCGTTTTTCCGCATGAGTGATTTTGTTTGCCATATTCAAACTCTCCTATCTCAAAAACGGTAAGAGATAGATCCATATAATAATACATTTTCTGTATCTACTCGCAGAGATCTTTCAAACGGCATATAAATCTAACGGTTTTATGGACTTTTAAAAATTGGTTTAAAAATCGCTAAAGGTCATAACTCGAGAACGGCTAAAAATCGAATCGAGAACCTTGGGTTTATTTCGAAGCATTCTGTCAGGTCTATCATTTTATGCGAAAAAAATCAAAATGTATATCGTAAAATGTTGCACAAAAAGACGAAAAACGCTTTTTCTGTTGTATTTTTGTTCGGTTTTAGTTTACCATTGATAAAAGTTTTTTTAATTTTTATTGTGTGATCAGTTTTAAAACATGTTGGCATTTCTTTTCCAAAATGAGTTTAAAATTATACCCCAGTGGTAAACTGACACTACAATAGCTTATTGCTAACCCGCTTTTACTTTAGACGGATAAACTTTTGAAATGGAGCATTGCCCGCATATCCGTTCCTAAATAAACATACGCCAGACCAAGTGGCAACTTTAAAGAGATTCATTTTAATAGTTAAATGGACCTTTGTTAACTCTTCCGAACTTAAATCAACACATGCCAAATAATGTAAACAAGCTAGCCTTGGCACATGAATAGACCATTATTAAAGTATTCTTCCCAAAATAAACAAGACGCCAAACATTGCGGCGACTTTAAAGGGATTAATTTTGACATATGAATAGACCATTGTTAAAGTATTCGTCCCTAAATAAACAAGACGCCAAACATCGCGGCGACTTTAAAGGGATTCATTTTGACAGTTAAATAGACCATTGTCCGCACATCTGCTCTACAATAAACAGGACGCCAAACCTCGTGGTAACTTCAATGGGATTAATTTTGACAGTTGAATGGGCCTTTGTCCGCACATCTGCTCTTAAATCAACACACGCCAAATAATGTAAACAGCTAGCCTTGGCACTTGAATAGACCATTGTTAATGTATCCGTCCCTAAATAAACACACGCCAGACAGTGCGGCGACTTTAAAAGGATCAAATTTGACATGTTTATTTTGAATTGTCCGCCCAGTCGGCCTTAAATTAATAGACGCGCGACATGTTGGAGCTTGTTTCATTGCATTGGTGACGTCATCAGATCCGAGCATGCGCATTAAGGGATAGTACTTTTAATATTGGAGTCATTTCGTTGCTGGAGCTTAAGCAGTAAAGAGGTAATATTTTTATTAAATGTTTATAAAGAAATACTTAATATAAATATGTTAATAACCTTATTTGAAAATGTATAAGATAAATTATGTATTAAGGGTGATATTTAAAATATAAAGAAATACATTTAAAATGTTAGTTATTTGAGTT